TTAAATCGTTTTGATGTAGTTGTTCCTGAGAAATCTATTTTTCATGAATGTTGTGACATATGCGCCCGTGCATGCAAATGTTTGTGTAAATGCCCTTGTGACTGTTCATGTTCTAAGAAATGTGCACAAGATGGTTGTCTTTCATCTGTTGAAAAACATCTTGCGGAATTGGAATGTGATCAAAGAAAAGATAAACACCCAGTTCACAACTTATCACAAACTAGCATATTTAAGATGGAAAGTAATCTTTTACAGTATAGTTTACACTTACAAAACAATCTTTCTGGACAACATAACTTGAATATGCTAACTGGATTTGATGCAGCTACTGGTTATAGCAAAAGTCTTATTGATGCCATTATAAAGAATGCCAGATACATCAAAGACAAGGAGTACCTAAATGCAAATTTTGCATTTTTTTTGTGATGAGCATATGGAAAAGACATGGGAAATAATTAACTCTTTTCTATGTGATACTGACTCCAACAATGTTTGTACAAATGTACTTGTAGATAAATGTATTGCAAACCCTATCAATGATTCTGGAAGTAGCGACTCATATAATACAACCGAGTCATCTTCATCTGAGGATAATTGGCAAAATCCGAAAAAGATGGTATGGCTTCATACTGGATATTCAAGTTCTGAAGACGAAATTTCCATCAGCTCGAATTGTTCATCATAAAAGCATTAAGTTATAGTAAGTTTTTTAAGTATACTATACATAATGATAAACTGAACATTTTTCAGTAAAACTGCCTGAAATATAAGTAGGGGGTTTATAACATTACATTGCAAAATTATAAAACCTTTCATGAAATACAACATATAAAGCTTGTTTATTAACAAGGTGTGTCATTTGTCACAAGTATTTGTATCAAATTTCAAGTTAATACAATTATTTTGTCAGGTGGCACCAGTTAAGAATATTTTAATTGTTCACATAACAATGCAATATTTTCAATGATATTGAAATAAACAATGTGCTTTATCAATTTAAGCACATAAACTGTATTTCCTTGCAATGTTTTGACAGCCATGTTGGTTGGTTTACTGTAGTTAGCCACTGTAACTATGAAATATTCCTTTTTTCATAATGACGTCAAACACAGAATATTAGATGTTACACGAGTTTGATTGATTTCATGTAACATTAGTCTTTCCCATTTGACGTCATTATGGAAAAGGTCTATTAAAGATTTTAGAAAATATAGCATTGTTTTCATGTTTGGTACATGTATATTTAATAACAGTGGCATATTAACTAAGGATGTTTTAAAGTAAGAGGACTCAAACTGACATGCTGCATTTATCTCTAAGAATTGGAATATTGCATGAAAGTTCTAAATGCCCCTTTCGTTACAGGTTTTCGAACATGCGCAAAGATGTTTACTTTAATATTTGTGGGGGTGATATGCCCATACATGCCTATATAATACAGTCCCAATGCATTAATTATCTTTATTTGTAGTAGCTCTTTTCACAAAACTTTTTCATTGAATTCTTCACCCATAGCTGGAACTTGGTCATGTCCAATTCATCAAGTAAATTTTCCTTCATGTTTGGAAAGGCTTTGTGGCACCGCCCGGGAATGCACTTGTATAGTTCTGCTTGCTGAAACTCTTCAACTAGAATCTTGACATCATCTTCATTCGAGATCTTCGAGTGTCTCCCAGATGGCTTCCGAACACATGCTGATTTATCATGACTAGCCAAAATTGCGTTGGACACCTCAATGCTCTGACTTACTCGTGAGATACTTTTGTCTGTGATCTCTCCTCGGAAACTATGAATGTCTGTTTTAAACGATTTGTTGTCATGTTCAACATCTAGATCTATCGGATGGTTTGAATCAATAAGTCCTTTGTGATTAACGAATCTATTCCATGTCAATGAGTATGATAACCTTGGACTTAACAGATAATTTATCTGTGCTAATAACTCAAGGGTAGCATATGCATATTTAGGGCATCCAGAAATTTTAAAGAACAGATAAAAGAACTTGTAAGTTCGAACAACTCGACCGCCATCCCCAAGACTTATGGCATTGTTGTGGTTTATCCGTAAAAGAAGCAAAACTAATACCTGTCGTGTGTAGTTATAAATGTGATCCTGTTCACAGGTTATCATATTGGTAGACTCCTGCGTGTCCTCAACGTGGCTCCTTCTCGTGTTTATTAAGGTAACTTCTTCGTACATACTTCTTACCACAGTACCGGCAAGTCATGTTGTCAATCATCACTGCAGATTCCTGCTGTGGCATTTGATTCATGACATGTTTGTCAATAAAATTTCGAACAGTTCTCTGAACATAGCTTTGTTTGGCCTCTTCATCATTTGGAAGACCCTCATATTTATTAACCGTTTGTTCATCATTCATTGATGTCATTCCAAAATGATCAAGAGCACCAGCAACCAAATAGGCATCACCAAACTTATCTAAGAACTCACTTGCTGCATAATAATTCTTGGAAGGATCCTTTGTTACATTTCTTGCACAGATTAAATTTCTTGCATGATAAAGAGTTCCAGGATCTCTTACAGATGATACACTATATAAATGCAGCCATATGACCTTTAAAATAAGAAACAGTACTTTTAACCATTGAATACTTGTGAATAAAATTCAATAAATAATGTACACAGCTTTCACCAGCATTTTTATCATACACTTCTAAGAATGGTCAGATTAAAGTTTACGTCCTTTCAGAAAAATACTTCATGGCTCAACCTCGTACCCAGGCTCTTTCCTCAGGAAAGAGCCTGGGTACGAGGTTGTTTGTGGCTTTGATGCATAACCTAGCACTGGATTTAAAGGCTGCCTCAGCCTAGACAAAAGCCTTCCATTTCTACCCTGTAATGTCATTAGCCTAATGCCATAGCAGCTGCCACCTGCTAATGCCAAAGTCGAGTAAAGGCCTATGTCTAGGCTGAGGCTGCCTTTCATGTCCATTGGACAGACAGATTGGGAGAATTGTTCCGTTGGATGAACATTTTGAAGCATTTAGGCTTATATCACATCCTACCAATACCCATTCCACGATAAATAAATCGTAGTGATAGCTGGATTAGTTCCAACAGCATTTAAGACAACTCTCATTTATATGGTGGCTGATGTGGGTGTGTGTAGAAATAATTTTAATCTTTGTCATATGTAGCTTAGAGTCTTTATGAGGAGCAACTTATACTAGTGATCAGGATTCTGCCATTATTTTTAGATATTGCCAATCATAACCAAATGAGAAATTGTTTCCAGTAATTACTGCATGATCTTAGTAATCAAATGAAAAGTGTTGCTACAGCTGTACATCTTACTCTAATGATTAAGATGTACAGATGTAGCAACACTTTTCATCTGATTACTAAGTGGAAAGAATTTCTCATTTGGTTATGATGGGCAATATCTAAAAATAATGGCAAAATCCTGATCACTAGTATAAGTTGCTTCTCATAAAGACTACATATGACAAAGATTATTTCTAATTATTTCTAATTATATACTTGCATTATTCTTCTGCTGAAGTTAATTTGTCTGGTAATAGACAAAGCAAAGGTGCTAAATGTGAACATTTGGGCTCATTTAAAGATAATGGTTTAACAAGAGGCACTGTTAACACTCTTCAACAAGTGGGTAACATTGTCTGGTGTTAGACAGAGTAAAATGCTAAAATATGGGTGTTTGGGCTATTGCGAGCTAATGGTTAATATTTATACTGTACCTTTAACCATTCGCATTGACTGTGGAAATCTTCAAACTTGCTTACTAGACCAAGTAGTTTTGCAGATGGTGTTCTTCCATCTTGCATTGCTGATTGTGCTGATTTGTTCCGCTCATGAGTAAGGTAATCACCGCCATTTAATACTTTTACTAAAGTACCAGGTTGATCATCCTTATCTGAATGGCCTGGAACATATTTGTGAATCCACTCCAATATGTCTATCATATCTTCCTCGTATTGCTCGTTTTTCCGAAGAACACCTAAATGTACCTGTTGCAAACAAATGTATTAAAATAGTTGTATATACCCCAGGAAGGCATATTTTAACATATATACTGGGGGGGGGGGCAATTTGGCCGGGCCACTCACACAAAATTGCCCCCACTCCCTGGGCCCTTTTAACATATTATTGCATTTAAACTGTTACCTCAGACAATAATACATTGGATCGTTACAGTGTGAATGGTATGACTTTGTATGTATTTGATGAAATATTAATGCTTTTATGACTTTTATGGTTTGAAATTAAGTTTTAATTAAAAACACAAAATGACTATATTTTAATATATACAAGAAGTAATGCAAATTATTATTTTAATTTTTGGCCTCTGTCTCTGATTGTAATGTCCACAAAATGGAATTGACTCAGATGCTATATCATATGTATAAGTTAATAAAAATTTTTATTGAAATAAAACATTCACTTTTTTAGTAGCCTGCGAACAGGCTCTCAAGCTGAATTGAGAGCCTGCATCGATGACTAATCAATTTGAATATCTGCCCCGTAACGTTCGTTTTTCCAAATATGGAATGTCTATCCTTATATGGTGTTATTTACAACTTTCGTGCAAACTAAATTTAGACCATGCAAACTAAATTTAGACTGTACAGTTTATACTGTTTTTCGAAATATAAGATATTGAAGCAAAAGTTTAAATGTTTTAAATACTGTTTTCTCAAAACAGAACATTTCGTGCTTTGAGATAAGATGGCCAAGACCAATTTGATCAGTTAATGTGTTTTTTTTTTATGCATAGTGCTTAGCAGTTGACATATATAGAGCTCAGCGGAATAATATAAATTATAGCATCTGACCAATGAGAATTTCGCGTCACGATTTGAGACGCAGATATTCAAATTCATTAGTCATCGATGCAGGCTCTCAATTCAGCTTGAGAGTCTGTTCGCAGGCTACTTTTTTAGTATTCAGAATTATTTAAATTCGCCTCCCAAAAATGCATGAAATGGCAATTTCAGAGACTCCAGATTTCAAAATTTCGCGGGGAAGGATCCCCCCGGACCCCCATGGAAGGCTTGTGCTTTCGGTGCTTGGCTTCAGTTATGGCCCCCCACTGCTAAATCATTAAAATATGCCTTGTACCCCAGTGCTGTTGTAAGCAATTTCTTATTTGGGTTGGAGGGGTATATATATGGCCTGCATTTTTGCATTCCTGGGACAAGTCTCAAAATCCAGGGCAATTTTTTTAAAGGTGACCTACAGTCCAATCTGCGCATGTGCACAAAGGAGCCCACTTTTTATGATACAAACAGTTTAACTATGTTTTGGGTTCTTCAAAGCCTGATTGTTGTTTCTTGATAATTTATTATACTCTAGAAGCTTGAAAATATAAATAGTTGTCGAATAAAGCTCAATATTTTGGACGCAAAAATGTAAACAAAGGCTTTGTTTACATACGGACTGTAGATCACCTTTAAAGAATATAAATAATGTAACCATTCTTTATATTCTCAGCAATGCGTTAATCAGAAATGCGTATGAATTACTATCATTTACCTTGTTTGTCTTCTTCTTAACATCTTCCATGTGCTTGTGAGGAATGTGTGTAGGAACATAATCATTGAACCAACTCAAAGCAGGAATGTACTTCGCCCATAGTTGACATACCATAACAGTGATTTCTTCAGCTAAACTTGTTTGTTCCATTGCACTTGGAAGAAAGCTTAGATTGTTAGGTGAAATCCTGTTTTCGTATGCAACGTTCTGAAACATATGGAAGTCTTTGTTCTGTTTAGATTTCATCATTTGTCTGGGCTTTATAATAAAGTCCACATTATCTCCTGCGAATGAGTACGACGGATGCATACTCTCTCGGTGTTTTTGAAGCTTATTGGCTTCCGAAATAATCTCTTCTTCAGCATTCGGATCCAGCTCACTCAACTTTGACAAAATTTCCCTTTCTTTTTTCACATCTTTCTCTACCTGTTCTTTCCATGTCAATAATTTGATGTCAAAATCTTTGGCAAAAGTTTCGAACATTTTGTTAGTTGACTTGTACCCCATACACGCGTATAATCGAGCCAATCTTTGGAAACCGATTTTCTTCAGCCCGTTCTTCTTAAGAATTACGCTCTTTATTCTTCTGGTAGCACACATTCCTTGGCTAAAAATGGAGATCAGTTGAGAAGCAGCGTCACACATAGGTGGTATGAGGTTATCGTCCTTTTTGTTTACATTTTTTGCCTGGGAAGGGTTCTGGACAGAAGCTTCAATAAAGCATGAACATCGGCGCTCTTTCTTTCAATTCTTTATGAATATTCTCCCAAGAAAATTTAACGAGATCTTCTTTGGACGTTTTGCGCAGAATTGATGGGTTGGAAGTGGCACATAAATTTGTTATTTCGTTATTAACACGACGAGCGGCTATAGCCATTACTTCGTCCGCAATATCATAAAAGGCAATTGATTTATGATTTCCTAATGCCAACTGTCTCGCTAACCGAAGATATTTTTCTGGAAGAACAACCCTCTTTTCTTGGCTATTTGGGTAACTAATTATGACCTATAAAGCGAAGGGAAAAACAGTTGCAGTTTAAAGTCAATCAGTCCGCCCAAAAATTATATAAAATATAAACAAAGCGCCAGCAAAACATTTCTTAATACACACTCCGATTGTTATTAATATTGTGTTAAATCTTTATAGAGAATATCAATTGATAATATAGCAACAATTTGTACTATTTACAACATGAGCGGCCGTGTTGTATATCCGAATATCCGATACAACACGGACGCGAATGTTGTAAATGACTTAAAAAACGACTCATCTTATATGAGTTCATTGGCGAAGTAATTTTAAAAATAAACGTTGTCTAAGCCGAGAAAATCAATGTTAATTAAAGTTTATGTAAATCAACATGAATCTGTATCACATATACGCTTATGATTTTTCTTTGTGTTTTCTTCATGAATTATTAATGAGTTTTTTAATGTACATTTACATTGTAACTTTCTTAATTGTTGTTTATCCTAAATTGTAATTAGAACAATGGACGGTTATGTTGTCTTTATAAATTACTCATCAGGCATGCCTTTAATACTACTAAATGTTAATACAACTTGTCAAAATCGTGTGAAAACAGTTGACTTTATGTTGTCGATAATTCTGATACCGATAAACTTTGCAACTTACCGTGACGGACGATATTTCAGAATTGACTTGAATGCTTTCTGTTTGAGTTTCTTGGTTTTTGCTGTCTGTAACAGGTTCCGTTGTCGAAAAAACAACACGCCTTTTAACTGGCTTGTTTCCTAGGTTTACACTGGGAGAGTCTTATTGTTTATCGTTACTGCTTTGCCTTTTGGTTACCAATTTCCCTTTCTTTTCAATCAAAGTTGACTCAACAGTGTGAAAAAGATCACGAGCCAGGTCAAGCTTATGTAGCAATTTGGTATTCTTATCCACACAGTTACGGCATATAATATAAGACAAACAATTCTCCGTATCAAATTCTCTTTCAACAATTCTTTCCAAGCTTTCGCAAGCTACTGTTTTTATCGACTGGTTAATTAAAGAGTTTCCTGCGTTTATTAGAGTCCGTTATTTCTTCCCCGCACTGAATGCAAATTTTCCCCTTGGAATTTGGTGAAATATCCACTCTCGCAAAACTTTTTGTGGGTGTTGTGCACTCGCCATCCATTGTGAATATATGGAAGTCGCGTCAACAAAATAATGAACTAGTGAAATCGACATGGTGAACGCCCACTATGTCATAATTGGTTTTCGCGCTAAGATTCAAAATCAGGCAAGTGACACAAGTCGCTCGCTTCCGTCTTTCTCAAGCGCTCCCTTCTTGCTACGCGCGGTCCCTAGCGAGCGACTTGGGCAAGTCTAGAGTCTGACCTGTCACTTTAAATTTGCTTTTGTTGGCGTTTTGCCTGTTACTATTTGTGAAATTTCAAAAAAATTAAAATTCTTTGCAATTCTTTGATAGTTTACTGTAGCTATCCATATTGTTTTGCTTTTATGTGCAAAAAATTGCTTAGGCCCGTTTTATACGTCGAATTTCGGTCGCGTCGAATGCAATTCAAACAATAGATAATGAAGCTTAATGAGGTTTATCATCTCATTATCTATCGTCTTAATTGCATTCGACACAACCAACATTCGACGTATAAAACGGGCCTTAGACACTCTTGAAGAGTATCATAAAAAAATTTAAATCATGACATATGTAAATTTTTTGTTTTCGCTCATTTGCCATATCACGTTTTTCGTAAATTCGATTGGCTGCTTGAATCCTATGATTAAATATGATTGGTTGGCTGAAATTAGCACTCTAATGTGATTGGTTTAAAGAAGGTGCGATTTCAGCATGAATAGCACTGCTAGGAGTGAGATTCGTGCTGAAATCGCACTCCTGTGAACCCATCAGATTGCAGGAAACATCATTGATTTCAAAATGAATATAATAAATAACGGTAATTTCCGGCCTCTAGTCATGTTATTACTTATAATAAAACATTTTGATTACGAATGTTCTCTGTTCAATGGTTAATTGAACCATGTTTAATGATTTCCTTATTGTCTCACTAAGACGAAGATTGACGAGTTGAGCTCATTTTAGATAATTTAAATTTAATTTTAATCCTATCTAGCGTTCGTATTAGAACTAATACAACCTTCAATGACATCATAGGAGGTAGTATTAGCTTCTTCTCACCTGGCATGCGAATGTGATCTACATATAAGGTCAAAACAACATACACACGCGTTCAAAACCACAATTCTTCCATCCTTCACGGCCAACTATCCAGTCACGACTGATAGGAGAAAATTTTGACTACCATATTACTTCGTAATATCATGGTAGTGAGGTGTATTAGCCGTTAAACCGCCCACTCGTTTCGGGTCATTAAGTAAATTCCTTCGGGGCTGCGGCCCTCAAGAATTTACTTAATGACCTTCATCGAGCGGGCGGTTTAACGGCTAATACACCTCACTACCATGATATTACTTATAAATGTACCACAATCGTTTAAAACTGTCTGTGTTAAATGTCACTCGTGTCGTCCTTTGTCGAGCCTTGTAGATAAAATGTGTTGTAATTGATGTAAATGTTTAGTTTAAGGGACCCTGTGAATGGGGCAATAGGCCCTGTAGGGATCACCAGTCATTTATGACAAAGCTATAGTAAATAAATAAAAAATAAACATAAACTTTAACTTTGATTTTCTCGACTTAGACAACGTTTATTTTTAAAATTACTTCGGCAATGAACTCATAAGATGAGTCGTTTTTTAAGCCATTTACAACATTCGCGTCCGTGTTGGCGTGTTGTATCGGATATACAAACTCTCGGCTTCGGGTCGAGTTTGTATATCCGATACAACACGGACGCGAATGTTGTAAATAGTACATACAGGTGCACTTTTAGGTATGGTGTGTATCATCATACAGACACATTGATAACCCGACCCTCACGCCAGCTCCACTCATGTAAGCGATCAGGCACCTAACCCATCACCCTGATGGGCGGGGGGACGACGAAAAACTCCCCGTTGTCTTAGGCTTGTGTGCACACTTAATTATATGCAACTTTAAAATGTCAAGACACCTATTATATGATATACATCATAAATTGAAGTATAACTGTATGATGAAATGCATCATAAAAATGAAGAGACCACGTTGGTTATGTTTTGATCCAAATCAATTTACTAAAAGCTTGTGCCTAAAAATTAAAATATTTTTACCGTATTTTCGAGCAAACTATATTTATCGACAAAACTATTTTTGGTCTCCCTAGCCCACATTTATAAAAGTTTCGAAACGTTAACTTTTACCCGGCATTAAATAATGAATCATATACATTTAAATGAAGCATATTGAATGCCAAAATGATTAAAGACAAAGACACGAGCTAAAGAAAATTTCAACCTTTTTATTATAGCTATTAACTACCGTCTAGGGCCTTCGCTAGGGGGTGTGGGGTGTGACACGGCACCCTGATTTAGCATCTTCGCGATGGCCCAGCTACCTTCAACAAAACTTATATTTTTAACTTAACCCCTAAACTTTTAAAAACAAAGCGGGCAATAAACGCTAAATTCTAAGAAAACCGCTGTGAAATGCATATTCTGGAATGGCGACGTCATGAAAAGTAATAATAAGTAAAAAACTATGAATTACTTTTGCTTAAAAGACGATGGCAAGTGTTTTTTTCGTGACGTCCCCGTACTAGAATAAGCAAAATTACTAAAGTTCGCTATTCTTAATTTCAATAACATAAAAAAGTTGTTTATATAACAACCTTCGGAGATAACCTGCGCAATGTAAAACGTGTCAAGCACAAAGCCGGTTTTCTACTAAAGCCAGTTTTCCACTGAGTGGAATTTTGCGCGCGGAGCGGAATTTCTCTTTGCCTTGTGATTTCTCGGGTGAAACGATTTAGAAAAGACAAAGAAATATTCCCCTCCGCGCGCAAAATTCAATCGAGTAGAAACCCAGCTTAAAGGCGGATTTCCATTCAGTGGAAAAATTCCTTGATTCTCATCACTAGACTTTGAAAATGTCGAAGAGCCGGGAGGTTTATATTTTATATTTATATAATTTATCATCAATAAATAAAAAACTGATAATTCCTAACATTTAATATTTCTGTGATTTCCAAAGTGAAGTGTCACAAACCAAAATGAACATATTTCTCCACGAACAATGACTGAACCCTTCAACTGAATGCGAAGTTGGCCGTTAAAATGCAATGAAATTTCTTTCAAGGTTCTATTTGTTTGAAATTGGCAGTTTAAAATGGCACTAAAAACCCAATTTTAAATATAAAAAACTTAACTGTCTTGAAATATTTTGTCGGACGGTTCATTTATATTGTATAACAAAATATAAAAAAATTTCACGCGTCTCTTAAAATACAGTCGGGCGGTGATGAGAATAAAGGAATTTATTTTATGTGGCCTTAGAAGACGAATTTCCGCCTCAAATTTTCCGTCTAATCTTGACCGTTTGAACAACGGAACATTAAGACGGATTTCAGCTGGTATATGGAAAAGACTAGGATAGCAGGTTTCCGCAATTTTCAGGCGTGTCTGTCTGAAGACTTTCGTTTCACATTCAAAAATCAGACGGAAATCCGTCATACAAGTTTCTCGTTTTCGACGGAAATTATTTTCTGAAGGCCATACAGTTTACACTTTTGCAGAGTCTGAATTATGAACTTTTTGAGTATATATGCAGCCTCTTTTAAACATTCATTACTTACTCACTGTTCACATCCATTAGAAGAAAACCGCCCCAAAAATCATAAGTGTGAACGGGCCTTAAAGGACATTGGCAATATTATAGTTTGTCTCATTCAAAAACTTTTAAAATTATATCTTAAACTCTATTACCCATTTGTCATATCTTGCTTAGTTCTCGAAATATTTAGACCGAAATTAATGAGCTGTCCGCCATCTAGGACTAATTCTTGATCTCATTAACTATGGTTTTGCAATTGACGACGTCAGGAGATGGGTTAACCGCATAAAACTACTCCAAAATGACCGAGTAACAATCCAAAATTGTTTGAAATGTTTTTAATCATTTCTAAATTTCGGACAGCAACCAGAAACGAAGTTTTCGACCCATATTGAACGCTTAATCTCAATAATCCCAAGATGATGAACAGATCACTTTTTTTCAGTCCAAATATTTTGAAAACTAAGCATGAAACAAATAGAGTTTAATATAATTATAGTTTTCAGAGTTCTTTCAAACGAACTAGACTATTTTTTTATTGCCAATGTCCTTTAATATGAATTCGGCCTCTGTTAATTTTAATAAAGTATAAATTTTAAACTCAGCAGTTACAATTAATAACCCTCTATAGTCTAAACGATATTTTTTTACAATAATGCGACAAATATAAAAGCTAAAGTAATTCTAATAGTAATAATAACAGTTGTCTGTGATAACAGTTGTCTTCTAACAATGATTATCGGCCTTTATCATAACCAGGAAAAATATCCTGAAGAGCTTTATACAGCGAGGTGTTGACAACAAGTTTAGTTTCTTTACCAAGGTCATAACGACATGTTGGGCAAGTAAACACACCAGCTTTAAATGAGCGAGTTAGACAGACCTAAGAAAGTAGGGAAAGTTTGTATAGTCTATATGATGTAACTGTATGGTATATAATATTATTACACATTGAAACTTTAATCTTGCTTGTGATTGGTCAGCAATCCCCTGTAGATGGTAGCCGCCACGGTATTTCCGCTGCTGATGAAAACAGCGTGGAGGGGCCGCTAACTGCAGCTAGCGTGAACTACCGTAGTTAAATCCTTAACTGTAATTAGTTAACTACATGACCGGGGGCCGGTTGTATAAAAACGTTGTTAGCGCTAACTGCAGTTAAAAAGTAGTTAAAAAGTAGTTAAAAAAAAGTTAAAGTTAACTATGCTTTTAATAGGGTATAGTTAACTATCCAAAACGTTAAAAATTGCACTTGTATATATAGGAGTGAACAACATTTTTCAGTAAAACAACAATGGAAAGCAACGCTTACCTGGGATTTTCAATCGCTATCTTCCCTGTGTATGTTTTCTGACAATACAAATTCTTCAAACGCTATCGCTTTGCCGCTTTGGTGTTTTTACGAAAACAGAATATACTTTTGCACAGGACGATTCCTGAAGACTAAGTATGGCGTTTTTATACAACCGGCCGCAGATAGTTTAAACACAAAATTACATAAAGTAAGCAGTGATTAACGACCGCTGACACGCATTTTTAACAGGATTGTGGGAATTTTATTCAAAACAGTGAAAAATAAACAATAAAACAAGGAAAAACCTTAAAGAGGCTGTGAAGTCCCGTTCTGCTCATGCCCGTATTTTGTTTACATTTTCGTTTCAAACAATAGATAATTTAATTAAAATTCCGATCTGTGAGCTTCCAAGTTAGCTCATTACGCATTCAGAATATATCACGAAGGAGAAATTGAACTACTAAAGCAAAAATTTAGCCCCAAAACAACAAATTTTAAATCGAAAACGCTAAGAAGCACTTCTTACAGAGGTCTGGACAAAATTTGATTGAACTTTGTACACATTTTGTCCATACCTTTGTATAAAGATGTGTTTCTCAACATTTTCAAGCATTTTTAATTTTGGAGCTAAATGTGTACAAATTTTCAATCAAATTTTGTCCATACCTCTGGCTCTGTAAGAAGTGCTTCTTAGCGTTTTCGATATTTTTAATGTGTTGTTTTCGGGCTAAATTTTTGCTTTAGTAGTTCAATTTCTCCTTCGTGATATATTCTGAAAGCGTAATAGCTAACTTGGAGGTCCACAGATTAGAATTTTAATTAAACTATCTATTGTTTGACACAATAAATGTGAACAAAACACGCGCATGAGCAGAACGGACTTGACAGCCTCTTTAATATAAAAGAAGGCAGCCGTGAGATTAGAATATTCTCCAAAATAATAGTTAACTTTAACTACTTTTAACTACATTTTAACTACTTTTTAACTGCAGTTAAGCCTAACTCCACTTTTAGTGTTATACAATTGGCTAAACTACATGATTTATGTTAACTACTTTTTAACTGCAGACAACCGGTCCCAGTAGTGTTTTTCTCAACATGAGCTCCACCTTTGAATTTACTATATGAGTAAATTCTTAAACACGTCCGAATTTATCATTATGATAAATTCGCGGCACATTTTGAATTTATCAATAGAGTTAATCGTAAAACCACAATCATTGCACAAGGTTTCTTGTTATAAATGTAATGGCACTAAAAGGGAGGCCGGTCGCGCAGGGGCGGGTTGTTTTTCATGTTTTTTAAAAAAATAGTTTTTAAAAAAGTTTTAAAAGACTAAAAGAGTTTTGAAAAGCAAAAAAATTTAAAAAGTTAGATTTTTAAAAAAGTTAGAAAAATTTATAAAAATGAGGGTTAGTGGTTAGGGGTTAGTGGTTAGGGTTGGGGTTAGTGTTAGGTGCCGCGAATTTATTATTATGATAAATTCAAAATTTGCTGCGAATTTATCATAATGATAAATTCGGACGTGTTTAAGAATTTACTCATATAGTAAATTCAAAGGTGGAGCTCATGCTGGTTTTTCTGGACGACGTATTCTCCCAAAAAAGTTAATCCACGCTGTAGAGACCAAACCCCAACGCGGTCGGCAGCTTGTTAGAAAGTCCACAAAATTTTGGGGTCAAACAAAATCGATTGTGGTAGATTCACTTCATTAAGCTAGGAATGGTTTAAATCTTTGTCAGCAAAACTGTAGAAGCACCAAAAAGGTCACGAAATAATGCAAAATTATCTGCGACAGGTTTTTATTGTATTTTCTCGTTTTCTTTTTGACTGACCAGCCTGCTTTGCGCGCACTGTTTGCCTGCCTTGCGCGCACTGTTTTGCACTGCGAATCGGGCCTTACAAAACCCGAAATCGGGCTGGGGCACGCGTTCATTCTTTTGACTTTTGATTTGGCAAAAGAAGCACAACAAAAGGCAAAATTCACACGGTGCCCGTTTGCAAAAATAACTGAAAACCGCTCTAATTCTTTCTGTCACTTTCATTTGATCTCATCCATGAGTGGGCCTCAACGGCCTTTGATTATCTTTCCCAATCAGCCACGTACCAGTCTTAAAACTGGTAGCCAGTGGGAAAGATATAAATAAAACACAATTCAAACGACATCACAATTTGCTTTAAAGTATATAACTTTATTTAGTAGTATAAGTAGAAATGACACGCACCTTGCACGCGTTGTGTTTGCATTCAGTTGTGACTGGTTTTGAAGCTAATTCTTGACAACATATACAAATAAACGACTCTTCAGCTTTCTTGTGGAATTCCTATAATAAAATATTAACAGCTTACTAACGGTTGTAGAAACCACAAATTTTTTATCCATAATTTACTTTTATTCCCACACTAGAAATACATGCATTCAACAACCCCTCACTTTTATTTTCTTAAACATTATTTCAATTTAGCCTTTCTCACAATCAATTTTCAGGCATTTTGGTGGTACTGCCTCTTGCACGTTTGAGAGTCTCCGCACCAACACCGCGGAAAAACGTCTGCGCATGCACCAAATTATGAAAACATGGCGGGGAATTTGAATATCAATTTCTAAAACAAAAACATGCTTATTAATTGGTCAAAAATTAGTAAAACAAACGAGAAAATATAGCAAATGGGTAGACTAGACATTAATTGAAAGCGTCCTGGCATTTAAAGTATGGAATAAAATATAATTCATGTAAAAAATTGTTGATTTTAACGAACACGACTTCGAAAATTTTTGCAAAATTATTCAAAACAAAAATTCAAACTCAAAAGTTAAGAAAACTCTCGAAAAGTTAAGCTTCTTAACCCACTCAAATTGTAGAATAAATCCTAAAGTTTAATTATTGTGAACACGAAAATTTTTTATATTTGGCGACACAGTTTTTTTTAAAGAAATGTATCTCAAACGAAAATTCGGAAATTGTCGTTGCTTAGTTGATAAACAAAATGTTTCAGACGATAAATTTGTCAACAATCACCTTTAGTTCATGTTCTTGTACAATACAATTTCTTGAACCTTCTGGCTGTATTTATTCCTAGTTTTTAGAATGACATGTTTATTTTTGCGCTCGAAATCTGGCTGTAAAGACACACAATGAAGTCACTCCTTTTTACCGCCATTTTGAGCCTTCGGAAACGTTCAGAACAGCTTCTCATTAAGTTCGCAATACTATTACAGGTAAGGTTGACGCATGCGCAGACGTTTTTCCGCGGTGTTCTCCGCACCACGAAACGCGACGTTTTAGTATCATAGTTGTTTGTCCCCGAGCCGACGGCACGAAGAGCCGTGCGAGGGTACTAATTCCCCCCGGCTATTTACATCCGGGGAAACGAAAGCATTAGCGAAGTCTAATGTTCATCAATAATCGCGGGCGTGGGTCACCAACGAAGTTTCGGTGGGTGGTCATCCTCACTGATCTCAAGAATATGGCGGACTGTCATGAATAGCGGACATTGATTGGTCCAATTTAAAGTTTCATTATAACGACTGCATGACGACAGTGAAATAGCAAACATTTCTTGATTTGATGATTGATAAATTTCTTGCAAATATATTTCATTTTTGCTCACATTTTTGCAAGATTTTGTAAATTTCAAAAACGTTTTCAGAAAGAAAGGGCGAAAGAGTCGGCTAAAAGAAGGGAGCCAACGTTAACGAAGGCAAGCTTGTTTTAAATATTGATTTTATAATTGCTTTAAAACCCGACGGCTTTGGCCCTTGGCTTTGGCACTTTGTCTTTGCGTATATGAAACTAAACAAGACAGCATATAATTTCAGTGTATCTTTATTAATATTGATTCCCTTTTTTATTATATGGAATTTTTTAAATAAAAAAAGAAAGCAAAGTTATTTGCATGCGAGAACTTAAAATAATTTTATTGCAAACTCAAAGTTTATCGATAAAGCCATTTAATTAAAGGCAGTTTAGTTTTATAAAGAACACTTTAAAACGTTTTGCGAAGCGTTTGTGGTTGAATTTTACCTTAAATTGAAGCTTATATTACGTATAATAACATACCTAACATATATATGTTGGGAAATTGATAATTTTGTAATTAAAAGTGATATTTTTAGGCGATTTTTCATTTGTAAGAATATTCTTAAAAAATATCGTCTTACCATGACAACTACTTCAGATACTTCATGTTCGGAGAATACAATGGACTTGCTCCAAGTCTCCCTTTCATTGTCATATAGAATCGGTCCACTATAGTGTACATTACATGACGTAGTACGGAGGGGCGGAGCGAGAAAGAGAGACTTGTCAACTTCGGAAAATCTCGGTTCAAAACTGAACCGAAAATGCAAGACTTGCTTTTATTGTTTTCTGTCAGGGTTTATATGTATTGATCTAGCACAATGTAAATAACACGAGTTCCATTATAGTAAATAATACAGAAAGAAATTGAAGGAAAACAATTAAAGCAAGTCTTGCATTTTCGGTTCAGTTTTGAACCGAGATTTTCCGAAGTTGACAAGTCTCTCTTTCTCGCTCCGCCTCTCCGTGCTACGTCATGTAATGTACACTATAGTGGATCGATACTATATGACAACAATGGTTCTGTCAGCAAGGCGAGGGTTTCTGCATGCATGTATTTTCTAGTATAATGGTAAATTTACAATTACAATTTTTAGAAGTCGCATTTCACGTTGTTTGAATTGTTCAGAATCTTTCACGAGGGCAGACAGTACGCCCAAATTAAAAAGGCTAATTCAACATTAATTAAGTATGCCAAACACTGAACGAAGGCCATGTGATGCTAGTCATGGCAACACGATCATTATTTTTTAATTTAACTTTTTTGTAATAAATCTATGTTATTTACCGGCTGGAAGGTCCGTACGTGTCAAGTACAGGGCGACGTTATAATAACGGACAATAAAAAGACAATACGTCGATCAGCAAGACAATACAAATGTAAACAATAAAGCCCGGCGCACACTAGAGCTATGTGCTTAGAGCTATGTGCGTAAGGAGAAAGTTCTCGTGTGCGGTGCACTTTTGTAAGTTTTTTGTCACTCGTGACGCGTAAGACAAATATCCAACGTGTTGAATATTTTTTGTCACGAATGAACATTTCCTCCCCGTGTGCGCGCTCGAAAAGCTATCACCTTTCATTGTAGATTGAATAGGCATGCGTAATAAAACATAAGACAAAAGGAAAATAATTATGAGGAATATTCATATGTCACTACTCAAGTATCACATTCCTCATTATTTATTTTCCTTTTGTCTTATGTTTTATGCCTATTCGATCTACAATGAAAGGTGATAGCTTTTCGAGCGCGCACACGTGGAGGAAATGTTCATTCGTGACAAAAAAATATTCAACACGTTGGATATTTGTCTTATTAGTCGGCCGATAAAAATCGTTTGACTAAAACTAACAAAATCGTTGTGTGTGGCACGTGTGCGGTGTCATTTTTAACCGTCATTGTTGCTCGATTTTAATCGGAAAAACGTTTTACATCAAAACGTTTTGATATTATACGATTTTTATCGGTGGAATTTTAAGTATAACCAATCAGATTTCATGCTGTGATCACGTGCTTGTATTTATCTGGCAACATGGCGGCTACAGTTCAGGGAGCGTATTTTTTTCGTAATCGTGTGCGGAGTATACCGATGTATATCGGTATGTCAAACGATTTTTATCGGCCGACTAAAATCGCATCGTGTGCGCCAGGCTTAAGAATAACAATATAACTCATTCATGTTAGTCAACGTTTATTCATAAATCAGGTCCTTTACCGTCACGTGTGTATTGTATTCTTGCCCAACTAACCAATAACAATGTTTTAGGAAAGTTACCTATTCGTGACTCGAACAATAGGGAAATTAGAAATTGCTATTTGTGGATTTGGCAAAAATACCATACACACGTGACGGTCAACGACGAAGAACGTGGACTAACAATACAGGGTGTATAAAAAACGCAACCTCGGAATTTCCTAAGAAACCCACTTGCAATTCTTAAGCACAAAAAATTTTAGGCCCCTGGGAATTGAAATCGAATTGCTAATAGATCATATTACTGTTGTTGTACTGTACTTGTAAAATAAAAACTTATTTAAGTGTCATTAAATAATTAGTATAACATGCTTCAAAAATGTTCTTTCGCACGCAGCAACAAATTGTACTTGCAGAAAACATTGTGTTCAAGACAACATTTATAACAAAAATATATGACTGAAATAAATCTAAAAATCATGTTTAAACTGCCGTTTTAAAGTATTTAAAAACTTTTGTGTTCCAGTATTTATATTTTAACGTATACAGCTATTTCAATTAAGGTTGTCCCCCAAGCAAACCAGATAAGTCGAATCACAGGAGGCCCAGGCTCGATTTGCCCGCGCCCGCCTGTGCCTTCCTTATAACGAGGGAAGGAAGGAGACATTGAGACCAAAATAGCCCAGACTTGGCATATGTCACACGAAACTATCCTCGATTTTCGCTTTTAATGCATTTCTTTCACGATTAATCGATATCCCCTGCAAGAATGATACCGTATAACTCTCAAAACAACGATGCTTTAATCAAAAAGCTTAAATTCGCTCTGAAATCCGTGAGGAAATAACAAAATTCGGCCAAAATATATCCGCGTGCCGGGTTTGCTGTGCAAAAAGCGGAAGTCGTTGAACAACTCAAAATACACTCAACCCTGATTGGACAACGAATATCAACAAACATTTCAAATTTTTTTAACAGTACTGTAATAATTTCAATCAAAACTATTCACAAACGTTATAAAGTGTAAATATTACTGCATGTAAATATAACTGTAGTACGTTAATATGTATAATAAATTGTATTTCACATTGTGTTTGTTAAAAAAATTTGAAATGTTTGTTGATATTCGTTGTCCAATCAGGGTTGAGTGTATTTTGAGTTGTTCAACGACTTCCGCTTTTTGCACAGCAAACCCGGCACGCGGATATATTTTGGCCGAATTTTGTTATTCCCTCACGGATTTCAGAGCGAATTTAAGCTCTTTGATTAAAGCATCGTTGTTTTGAGAGTTATACGGTGTCATTCTTGCAGGGGATATCGATTAATCGTGAAGGAAATGCATTAAAAGCGAAAAATCGAGGATAGTTTCGTGTGACATATGCCAAGTCTGGGCTATTTTGGTCTCAATGTCTCCGTCCTTCCCTCGTTATAAGGAAGGCACAGGCGGGAGCGGGCAAATCGAGCCTGGGCCTCCTGTGGTCGAATACGAGCGCAAAAGGCTGCTGGGAATCGCTAATAAATTCATTATTTTTTTAGCGATTCCCAGCAGC